GAGCTAATTGATTATCGAAAAAGATGATTGGGAGGTTAATCGATACTGAAAATAATGGAGCCCCAGTCAGCTACATTGTAGCATCACCATGTAAGCATTGTCATTGTGAGCGTGTTAGCGTGCTGGTGTTAGCATTGAGCTCAAAGTATACAGCCTCACAGTGCAGCTGGAATGGCTGTAGACTTTTATCTTTCTATCCTGTGACATGCTTCAATTTTAGGCATAAAGCCTTGTTTTTGCATGTCCATCATCTCCTGCTTTCTTCTCTCTTTTTTTGTGAATATTTGGACATGTGCGTATAGGTAGCTTTATGGCTGAATAAAACCAAACCAAAAACATTCATCCGTGTATTTTACATTTACCCGCCAAACTCTCTACAAGCTAATTTGTTCACATGTTGGGATTCACCTCTTTCACTGTTAGGATCTGTATAAACCAGTCGTGTTTATTGGCACACTCAAGTGTTAAACAAAGGGAAAAACTTACTGAGAGTGTGGAAGGCTTTATGGCCAGTCAGCACATCTGATCTTCTCGAAGACAAACACATTCACAGTAAGTTTTCTAAACTCAGAGGGAAAGTAATGAAAGTCATTTCTTTTGAGATGCCCTTCTTTGTATTTTATGATAAACCAAGGTCTCCATTCAGTGCAGGCTTACTGCTTTTGCTATGTTTCCCGAGAAGAATGACTCCAATCTGTCTTGAATCCTTTTGTGGCTCTAAAATGGAATCAGCTTCCCAGACTATACTGTAGCGCTGCGTTATTATTCATTCACCATATAGGCGGCAGACTGACTTTTTCACTCAACAGCCACTTTTCCACAGCAAAGCAAAACAAGGTTTACAGTGCTAAGGATAACCATGCTGTTGATAAAAAAAGAATTAAAAAAAAGGATTAACAGCCTTATTTATTTCAGCATCACACCCAATCTCAAGTAAATAGAGACAGCTTTGCCTGGGGCTTTACTCTTGAAGATAATGCAGTGGCATAAATAAAGAATTAGGCTTGTTTAGCCTTGTTTGACAAGAAGAATATTGGGAGCAGCCGAGGCCATGGCAGAAACAGGCTGAGGTTATCTACATGTGATTGAAATCCTTTCTTACCATCAAATTTTCATGAAAATTGCCCAATGATGCAATGAATGTCAGTATGGGAAATGTTGTTGGCATCGCATTTATTCCTCCATGAATGTTTTTTGTGCAAGAGGTAAATAAATCGGAAACTGACTGGAGCAGCAGCGAGCGCTGAGTTCTGCACGGAACAGCTTGTTTTACTGCGTTTTGCATGGAAATGGCTGTTTAAAATGATCAGCATTGCTGTTGCTGTTTAGAAATCATGACCGTTATTTGCAGCAGGGGAAAAAGAAATGATGTATTACAATGAATGTCAATTTAGTTTACAGTGCTACAGCGAGTCTTATCTGCTGATCATGTGTCTCATATTGGGTGAATATATATTTTATGGGACATTTCTGAAGGCTCGCCACCTGTTTTTCACTGTTTCATCACATTACGAGGTGAATGTGAGCACAGGATGGCGTGTCGCTAAGCTCTTTTGTCTCTTATGTTCATGTGATATTCTGAAATATCTACCACAGTTCTGCTGACCACTCACAATGCAAACAAAGATTTCCTGCAGATCTGCAAGTTCCACATCTGTCTGATTAAATGAGACTGTGGTCTAACCGACGTATGTCTGAAATAGCCGAGTAAATGAGCTAACTTCTGCACGTGAATTGTATCCTCTGATTGTCACAAACTGCTGTTGTGGCAGCTACATAACATACGTATCTGAGCAACTCTGAACCCTAAATGTATGTGTATTGGGAAAAAATACAAGTCGCTTTGGAAAAAGGCAAAATTAGTATAACTTGACTACATAAAAACAAGTGTGCGTGCAGTAGATCTCAGTGTGAGTATCTGACACCAGGAGAAAAGCACATAGCCAGGTATAGATGTGTGATTTTATAACTGTGTTTATCTTTTCCCGGGGTGTTCTTGCCGAAGGTTTCTAATTAGCTCGAATTAGCTCAACGTGATGATCCCTGTGTAAGCTGGCGAGTGATCTCTTCCGAAGTCTGTTCATCAGCTGTGACAGCCAGCATCATCTTCTCCTTCTATACCTGGCTAATGGCACCCTATGGATCTCTATCTAGGCCAGCGTCTTACCAGTCTGCCCACATATTATTAATTCCCACTCAAACTCACAATTATTAACTATCCTGTTTGTTGGAAAGTCCAAGGTATTTTTGCTTCCTCTCCTGTGGTGTGAATACGCTTTGACTCCTGAGTTGTTTTGATGATTGTGAGCACACATGTTGAGGTGTGTGCATGCGTGTGACTTACTAAGAATAAAACATCCTCCTGGGTCCTGTCTTTATCATAACCTGACAAACATATCAACAAACAAATCAGCAACATTCAAAAAACATCTTTTTTTTTTTGTGCACTTTCACTGTTTGGTGTGAGAATCCTTCGTCCATGGCGACAATTTCTTGCAAAAGATATATTTTTTTCACTGATGCAAAGGAGGACATGGCCTTTCTACTCTCCACACACACCCATCAAAAACATGTTTTTCTTTCGCAGTCCAGCTGTTGATCAACAGTTGATGAGCTCCTGCTGGATTCACCTTCTACACTTTCACTGCTGTGCTCGTGAAGATGCTCCCGGAGAACGAGACAACTCTGTGGTTTTCATCCGGTGCAACACATCAAAAACACTTCACAAATGAGGAGACGCACTCCTCCTTTGTCGGGGTCGGCACAAAAGGCTTTATCATGGCAAGACAGGTGAGGAACGGGTTAGTTAAGAAAAGGAAAACAAATGGTCACTGTTATTTTTCAGTTACACACAGCAATCTTGAAATTTCCTGTGGCAAGACTGAAGACCTGTGGTATGGTAATTTAGTGTACGCATGTGTTTAAAAATACTCTGGCACCTGTGTTGCATATAATGCCAACCTCTCCCTATCTCTCCTCATTTCCTGGCCCCCTTGATATTTCCAGCTTTCCTGGAAAGGTGAAAAGCCAAAAATGCCGCCTTGGTTTCATAAAACATCTGGTCTGTGGCATATATATTTAAACACATGGATCCAAAAGACATGCCGTGCTAATACTGCTTGTATGGCAATTATCAGAGACTGGTGTTTGTGTCTATACATGAACAGGAAAACAGTACGAGTAATACAAATCAGAACGCTAACAGTAAACAAACAAGTAAATCAAAAGTAAGTTAGGGCATAATTAATCTTCACTTAATTTAATCAATGCAAACACTTGGCTGCTTAGTAAACAAAGGATCTGATATTAGATGGAATACTAAACTAATAATTGAACACAATCGAATCAATGACATATCAATGAAATAGAATAGGATTATATGAGTGTGAAGTCTTATTACCACTTTTTTTGTTTACCACTGAAAAGGGTGACACATACTGTAGTAGGGTGACTCCTCCACCTGATCCAGCACCAAGACTATAATGTTACATCCATGTTGTTGCAATACCGCTTCCAGCCACCGGCGGGCAGCATTGAGGGCCTTAATGCTGAGCACCGCACCAGACAACATCTGTCACCTTGGATGTTATGTGATTGATTGATCGCACATTATTTGAATGAGCTGTGCTTCTTTTCTCCGGAATGTTTGCTGAGATGTCTCCTTTGTCTCTGGTGAGTTCCCTTAAAATGTTTTCGTTACGTATTAAAGTTAATTATGGTTATCACTGATGGTATGAAATGGGGAAGTCAGGTAGCGTTAGCATAAATGCTGCACTTTTAGAGGGCTAATGTTACTTCCATATATTAACTTTAGCTAATGTTATATCTTGACGACAACTTGTAGTTGCTAATTTCATCGTGGGATTCTATTTTTCCGACTTTAATTGTTGAGCCGATAAGTTAGCATTCCAAACTCTGTCCATTAAAGAAAACAAACAAGCCCCTCTAACCCAAGGTTAGCTAGCTAACGCTAATGTAGCCTACATCCACGTGTCAACAGAGAGGTTCACTTGTTCTGGAGCATCTTTGTTGTTAACATTAGCAACGTTAGCAAAGTAGCTAATAGTTAGCAGTCAGTGACTAATGATTGTTTGACACACTATCAGTAACGTTGGTTAATGTTAACTCTTAAACTTTAGAGACTGTTAAATGTGTCCAATGGCCATTTAACAGTTACATCTCAATCAGTATTGATTTATATGATTTTGTTTTGTGTATATAATAATTCTGCTTGAAATGTAGGCTGAACTGAGAAAGAAAAAACACAATTGTCCATCACAAGGTTATTGAAATATGTGTCTAATGTGGCTCACAAGTAAAAACACAAGGGACACATAATTAGTATTTCCCATGTTCAATAGCACCCGGATAATTACAGTCAAAGGGTTTTTGTAACTGAATACATCATGTCCAGCTCTATCGCTTACAGGGCTTTAGATTATTTTCTCCATTAATTGATTCATTGATTTTTTGAAAACTGCCAGCTGTAATTTGACACCTTCAAATTAGTTGTTTTGTCATCAGTCCAAAACCTAAAGTTATTCAGATTACTATCGAATACCACAAAGTACCAGACAAAAACAAGCTATTTTTAGACGTCACTTTGAGCTAATTGATTATGGAAAAGTTGATTGGGAGGTTAATCGATACTGAAAATAATGGAGCCCCAGTCAGCTGTATACATGTCAATGATTAATGTCTTTATGATTTTCTTTTTAGCTGACGGTGCCAACTCAAATCCTGAAGAAACATTTGCATCACAGCTTCATTTTCACTGCGAGTAAAATTTGATTCAGACTCAATGAGCAGCATGGAGAGAAAGCAGCCACTAGAGGCTGCACTAGCAAAGCCACAGATACATAGATCAATAGAGAGAGAGACGGAGAGAATCAATGGAGAAACAGCAAAAAAGAGATGCATGCAGTTCTGTACGGCAAGACAGAGTGGCAGAGTGAAGAGATGGAAAAGGAGAGTGAGCAACGCACCAGCTGAGAGAGAGAGAGAGAGAGAGAGAGAGAGAGAGAGAGAGAGAGAGAGGCTTAACCACGTTGCCCGTCCTCATACATCCCTCTGCAGCTGTGTGAGGCAGAGTGAGCGGAGGAGAGGCGGGAGCACATCTGAGTCCCGTGGAAACAGCAGGACCACGTACCACTTGGCCGAGAGATCGATGCACTTACGCCAAGCCACACAGGGAGGGTGAGTGGCCCGTAGGACGTCCGCGTACTGCCACAGAGAGAGAAAGCGAGTGAGCGAGGAGCCAGAGGGACAGCGAGAGGGAAGAAGATTACCCAAGGCCAATTTGAAAGCTTTCATCTGGTCACTCGGAGCAGGTGAGTTAACTTGTGCCTGTGTGGAACGCTGGCGAGATGTTCGGCAGGTGCCTTCTGCTTGTAGACAGGAGTGTGCATGCGTGTCCCGATTCCTCACTCATGCACAGTTGTAGATTTATTTGCCTTTGCATTAGAGCTCTGTGTCTCCTGTTTTTTTTCTCCTTTTTTTTAGTTTGTGCATCACTTGCCAGACAGCGTGCATTTATAGTCATAGCCAGGTGATTAACTGGGGATCCTCGGTATCAATCAACCCGTTATCATGCTGAGCAGAGAGGAACACAACAATAGCTGCTTAACGACCCCCTCTTGCTGGTTTGTGTGTTTATGCGTCTGTGTGTGTGTGTGTGTGTGTGTGTGTGTGGGTGCCTTTTGTGGGTAAAGTGCATATGTGTGTTATAGACGGATGTTCTGTTGTAACAGGTGAAATGTGTCTGAATTGCAGTCACATGGACGATTTTATGGAGTCATTAAAAAAAAAAGCTTGCTTTGAGAAAATGAATTGGGAGTAGTTGCTTCCATGGCAATTTGTCATAACTGTCATGGGACGGATGTTTGTCTCCCGATTCTTGCGTATTCGTAAGATAGACAACTTATTGCTGTCCGGTGTCATATTGTACACTTGACACTTGAGTATGCTGACACTGTGCTACTTTAAAACATGGTCAGATCAGCTGTAATAGTTTTCAAAGTTGTCCCAGTCTAATGGATCAAAATATGCATGAAAAATTGTAAATTATGCCAAACAGAACTGTACTTTTTTTTTTTTTTTTTTGCAGTTGAACAGTTATTAAGGAAGCTTGTGGACTATTGCTCTTCAGGTCCCATTAACCGTCTTTCCTACACAGATTATTCAATGTGTTTCAGCTGTAGTGACTTGTTATTATTATCTATGGTGACATTTAGAAAGTCCGCCTATATTTCTCCATCTATCCTCATGCTGTACCCGGTTTGGAAATACCATGCCGTGCTCGATGTATCCCATCATCCATCTGTGTGTGTGTGTGTCCGTCTCTCTTTCAGTCTCTGTTCCCCTCCCTTTCCCATAACAACCCCCATCCGCGGTTCCCCCTTTTTCCTCCACGTCATCCAGTGAAGGTTATTTCCATATATCGAGTTGGTTTCATTTGTCAAAGTCAGCCAGACATATTGTTCATGGTCACAGCAGGGGGAACAGTTTTGGGGGGGCATTGACACCGTACCGGAGGCTGTGGTGATTATATCCTGAGAGGACAGAGAATGACAGAGTGACAGAAAAAGGCAGAAGTAGTGAATCGCTAGCAGAGAGAAAACCACCAGTTCAGTTCCCTTGTAAACAGAGAAGCTGAGCAGTTCATTTCAGAGTGTGTGTGTGTGTGTGTGTGTGTGTGTGTGTGTGTGTGTGTGTGTGGAGGCTTGAGGGTTATCGGTCTTTTGGATTCATCATATCTCGCACAGAGCCTGGCTTTCCCTCTCTCCCATGTGGATCCTGTGTCATTAAGTTGAGACACCGAATCTGAGAGATCACTTTCTCTCTGTGACTCTTTCTCTTCCCAGATACATCAGACTCTCTCTGTCTTTGTCTTTACCTCTCGCCAGCTTTTTATCTGTTCATTACTCAATTTTTGTCTCACAGACACACACGCACACATATATTTCAGAAGAGCACACATTCATGAAACTGCAGCTCATAAAACATGCATCCCTCATTGAATGTAGAATGAGTGTGTTCAGAACTCATGTGATTGAAATTCAAATGAAACACAGATGGCTATGCTGTGGCTCTTATATAATATTTTAACCATTATGGTGAAGACAGAGATCCTCTCCTTCTTTATGGATTCATGGAAATGTGATAGTGTTGACATTTTACTGACTGGAACAAAAATGTTTACTCATTATTTGTAGTTTCCTGTTTGCATTTGTTGAGTCCGTCTGTGTTTAGTGGTTAAACTGCAACTGTTTTCTATAAATTGCTTTAAGGAGCAGGTGGTATTTGTTGAATCCCCCCCCCCCCCACCATTCCTACAGTGTCAGGATTATCGCCACTATTTTCCTTCCTCTGTTTCCAAATCATTCACATTTATGTCGGTGCCAATGGGCAGCCGAACAAGATTGCAATCATCTACGTGGTAATTAATAATTTACATAATACCTCATTCTGGGGGAATTTTATTTTTCCCTGCGCCGCCAGTGTTAATTGTGTTAGCTAAGCTACCGTCATTACTTATCGTTAGGGCGACAGTTAAATGTGGACATATCCAGCTCTCATTAGCGACGGCATCATCCCTCAGATACTGCACAGATTTAAAGCACAGTAGCAGATACTGCAGTAAAAGGACTGAAATCTTTGTTTGTTCTTCTGTCAGTTGCTATTCAAACACTCGTCTCCATCGCACAAGCGCAGCTTCTTTCCTTGTTTGCTGATTAGATTAGCGCCTTTTATGGTTGCGATAGCACGCAGGGACTTGTGCGGTTTTATTGACGCGGAAACAAATCTCGCAATTGTTTCATGCCTACATTTTTCACTTCTACTTAATACATTACAGATGCTTAGTTCGGCATTTAAAAGCTTCAGAAAGATCAGTAAACACAGCATCTCCCTGTCCTTCCACCCATGGCACATCTTTTCATGAAGCAACTCAGTGGCCTTCTCTGCTATCGTTTCAGTCTGTGTGATAAATCCTGAGTAGACTCTCTCGCTTTATGTTTTCGAGGTAGAGGAGCCAGACGTGGGCATTTTCTCTGAAGTCATGCGTGAACTGTTACCTTTCTTTGCTGCTTTATGTTATGCTGTGTCCTCCCTTTTTGTGTTTCTGCCGTCCTCTCTCCTTACAGTCTCTCTTTAGATAAATGATACACAAATGTTCAGGCATATAGCCATAGGGATGTGTGGATGTCTACCAAGTTTTCTTGCCAAAGTTATTGCGGCCAAAGATTTCATGGCAGCATCAGCGCAAAAAAAAACCAGATACTTCATCTCTGGTAGAGCCTGCAAAAGTATTCAACAGAATATACAGAATTATACAAAAACACTCTAAACATGCGCACCAGTAAGTGGACTAGCTAAAATGATCTGAACACGTCATGGCCACGGTTTCTACATCTAGTCAGACAAGTAGCCTGGTTCGCCTGCCCTGCTGTAGTTTTGCCAACTAATGTGCTATCGTGGACACCTGAAAAACGAGGTTCGTTACCATCATATTGGTGATAGAAACTTTTGGCGCTCGGATGTCCCGTTATTTTGCCCTGATCTGAGTCCATTAAATATTGGGTGTCTGCCACTACCGATTCTATAGAGTTCAATCTGAAACTTATACCCTTATTACTGAAATTCATTTCCTTCTAAATTTGACTAATCTGTCTTATTTTTCACGAGCTGCTTGATCCAAATATTGAAGGTTCTGATGCAAAACTAAGCTAATACGTGAAATGGAAGATGAAAGTTTAAGTGGGAGAAAGCCACTCATGAAACTGACGTGATGTAATCAGCTGGAGAGAGTCCCACTGTTTGAACAAGTGGAATGCCAAATGCGGTGGTCTAACTGGGCAAGTGCAAAATAAATGTGATCTTTATTTGGGATCAGTCAGGAATCAGTAAAAATGTGTGGATTAATGCTTTCTAGTCGCTGATTTCAGATAATACGATATTGTGTTTAAAATTGACATTAGGAGAGATAGTTAACATTAGGTGTTAGCGGCACAGCCCTGCTTGGCTCACTACCGGAGCTAACGGCTGATGTTAGTGGAAATTTATTGCGTTACATTGTTATGCGTTCAGGCTCTATCCAGTAAAAATGAGTATTGGATGCATAGACTGAATATAAGAAGTGGACGTAGTCATCGTGACGTCACCCATTGGTTTGTAGACTGCCGTTATTAAGCCGTCGCCATGTTGTTGTTTTTTAGCAACCAATGAACAGAAGTTACCATATTTGGAATGCAGCGGAGCGACGTAGAGACGCCTTTTACGGCTCTGGTAGCGGCAGCGACTTGTCAATCACAGTAAGCCCCCCCTAAACCATACTCTGCTTTATGGTCTATTTGACTCTATTGGACCATAATTTACTAAATACACATCATGCTGTATTGAAGAAGACTTTAAACTAGCGATTAAGACCATAAACTTATGTTTACAATGTTTACTGAGGGAATAAATCAAGTGAGAAGTAGAGTCATTTTCTCATAGACTTCTATGCAATCCGACTTCTTTTTGCAACCGGAGGAGTCGCCCCCTGCTGGTCAGTAGAGAGAATGGACGTTTTAAGACACTTCCGCATTGGCTTCACTTGGCAGAACCGGAGGTTGCCGCCTGATTGGGTGTCAGTAAATAATGTTATCATGATGTGTTCATGTGAACGTAATCTTGTGAAATGTAGTTTTTCGAGAGAAACTTGAATGAATGTCGGTTGTTTGAAGGAGTTGTTATCACAGCAATATGAAACGGATACTAGAGAGGGAATGATGAGCCGTTTAACTTGCAAACACTAGCTCTAAGCAGCTTATAATACATAATACATTATAACGTCTAATGCCAAACTTCTGTAGAAGGCAACTCGAGTTGGTGATAGTTGTGGAAAGACAATGTAAAGCCTAAACAAGACTGTTTTGATGAAGTTTCTTTTACCTTTTTGTTAGCGATGAAACTTAGTCAATGGAGTCTCATGGCTTTGAGGAGAGCATCTTAATTGTTTGTTTTTATTTGATGATAAATTATGATAATTGTCAGAATCTCGTTTAATATTATCAATTATTTTAATAGCCTTACATTTTCCATTGTGAAAATGTAAGGCTATTAGGTAAGTAAAACATCTGTGCTACTTGCCCGAAGGTTGAACAAGTTTAATGTCGAGCTTTGACCCGGATTGGCCCTGATGCCGACATTCAGGAACAGTTTGAGATGTCCCCGGTTGTTATCATCATTATGTTTTTCGACCACGGCATAAAACTGATTACATTTTGACATTCAAGAGATTTGCTTTGGGCTGCTGAAGCCTATTTGGGTTTACTCTTCTGTTAAAAGG